ACACCTGGCTAATTTTTGTATTTTTAGTAGAGACAGGGTCTCACCGTGTTGCCCAGGCTGATCTCAAACTCCTGAGCTCAAGCGATCACCCCACCTTAGCCTCCCAAGTAACTGGGACTACAGGCACACACCACCATGCCTAGCTAAAAGGTGGTATTTCAAGTCAGTGGAGAAAGGATGAAATCTTCAACACATTAGGAATAGTCGGCTAATCAGAAAAAAATTATATTACATGCTTACCTCATACCAAATTAAATTCCAGATGTGTTAGCAAGTGCTAGAAGAAAATATATGTGAGTATTTAAATATTCCTGGGGTGGAGAAGCTTAAAGGTGACATCGAAGGCAGAAGCCATAAAAGAAACAGCTAATAACATTTAATCACATAAATGGTAAATTGAAACTTATCAGCAACTAACAGAGGTAAAATTAACACAAATTTTCAAGCAAGGTAAAAATATATAGGTGTGATAAATATTAATTAACATACTTTACATAAACTATTCTTAAAAATCATAGGCCGGATATGGTGGCTCACACCTGAAATACCAGCACTTTAGGAAGCCAAGGCGGGCGGATCACCTGAGGTCAGGAGTTCGGGACCATTCTGGCCAACATGGTGAAACCCCATCTCTACTAAAAATACAAAAATTAGCTTGGCGTGGTGGCGGGCGCCTGTAATCCCAGCTACTCAGAAGGCTGAGGCAGGAGAATCACATGAACCTGGAGGTGGAGGTTGCCGTGAGCCGAGGTCGCCCCACTGCACTCCAGCCTGGGCAACAGAGTGAGACTCCATCTCAAAAAAATAATAACAATCATTAAAGAAATCCAAAGAAACTTTGGTGTAACATATGGCATTAGTTAATGAAGCCGCACGACAAACAACCTCAAAATCTCTGCAAATTGCAAAACATTTATTTCTTCCTGTTGGAGAGCTCCCATGGGGGCTGTGAGTCACTATGAGTCTATTCTTTGTGTCTTCTCATTCCAGGACCAAGACTGAATGAGAAATCTCTGAAAAACAGGCTGTTCTCACAGCAGAGGGCAGAAGCACAAGACAGACTGAGCCAAACCACGTAAATGCATTTGACATTTCTGCTTCAACAAGCGTATGTTATTATTCCCTTCCATCCCATAGGACAAAACAAATCACGTGGCCAAATAGCATGACCAACCTCCTCGGTTTGCCCAGGACTAAGAGGGGTCCCAGGACACAGGACTTTCTGTTTTAAAATCAGGAATGTTCCAAACAAACCAGGACAAGTTAACTATCCTACGTGGCCAAACTCCAAGGTCAAAGGGCAGGGAAATGTACTACACAGAGGGATGGTGGGTGACATTTTGAAGCAAAAATACAATCCACCACAGGCTTGAATAAGTCAATCACAAACAAAATCAAAATCAAAGAAATCTAAATTAAAACAATAAGATACCCTCTATTTAGTTTAAAACAAAATATTCAAGGCTGGGTACAGTGGCTCATGCCTGTAATCCCACCACTCTGGGAGGTAGGAGAATTGCTTGAGTCCAGGAGGTCGAGATCAGCCTGGGTAACATGGCAAATCCGAGCTCTATAAAAAATACAAAAATTAGCCAGGCATGGTGATGTGCCCCTGTAAATCCCAGCTACCCAGGGGGCGGAAACAGGAGGATCACTTGAAAAAAAAAAAAAAAAAAAGCAAGCAATGGTGCAAAATGCCTGTAATCCCAGCTACCCAGGGGGCGGAAACAGGAGGATCACTTGAGCCCAGGAGGTAGAGGTTGCATTGAGCCAAGATCTTGGCTACTGTACTTCAAACTGGGCGACAGAGTGAGACTCTGTCTCAAAAAACAAAAACAGGCCAGGAGCGGTGGCTCA